CTCTTTTTAAGAATTCGAGAATCAAAAGAATTGGATCGGTATTTTCAAGAAAGGCAAAAATGAAACCTTTATACCTTCATAGTTTGCTCTATAACTTAATGAACTCAAAGCCTTTTTAGGCTCTTCCAAGCTGAGATTGTAGACCACAATTTACACTATCACATAGGTCTAGTTGCATTTGCAGAATTTGTTTCTTCACGAAATGAGAAAATGTGTTTGCGAAAAATACCTGCGTACGAGCAATAACCTTATGCTCAAAATCGATTATTAGGCCCCAGTTATGCAGAACCTTTCAGGTAAAAACAGTTTCCTATTTGCGAGACAAGTAGAAGAGCATCTAGATAGAAGCCCCTAGCTGAGATAGTTTTGAATCTGATTTAGAAGACATTTTCTGATCCTAAGCCGCACTCAGGAAGGTCAAAATTACGCCAATTTTCGTTATGCCGCCTCTCAACCATGTTTTGAATAATCAGAAATTCTCTTCGGATGATTTTCAGATTTCCATGCTTAGCTGTTTTAGAGCTGAAGGTTTGCTCTATTTTTGTGCGCAATTATAAAACAAGAGGAAATGTTGTTAAAAAGATGCTACGTAATTTCTCAAAGTCATGCTTGCGTACAGAGCGCACTTCGGTCGGCGAGAGAAGTTGGGGATTTTTCGAGGGATAAAGCAGCCAAATTCTGATTTGACTATGTCATTATGATAATGATGGTTGGCGAAAACAAACGCATACTTGATCTGTCTTCAAGCCCGTCTAGTATCCTTTTGGCACCCAAGGAAACACGCGCCGGTAGTTTTGGCGCACCCTGTACAAAGTGTGAGTTACATATTATATCCTGAATATGAGTCACAAGTTCTCAAAAAAGCAGCACCATGCCTCGTGCTCGACAATGCCGTGATTACTTCTCATTCCCCAACCGGCTTTGGTGGCATCGATAATCTTTCTAAAAGTATCGAATAAATGCACCGAACACCAGCAAATTTCGAAAGCGTCTTAAAAGTCAATTATCAGTGACTATTTCTTATTCAAAGCTGATTACACCGCTCAAGGGCAAAAATTGTGCCCTCCTTGATCCGCAGCTATCGGTTCTTTTACAGAAACAAGCGTAACACTACCTGTGCAAGAAAAGTAAGGATTATAAGTCATTGTCTACTTTATTATAAAAACTCATGTCGCAAAAGAAAAGAATGACAATTTTGATTTTCAATAAAATAAACGGAACATCAGACCTCTTTTTTTCATTTTAAAACAAGACGCTTTGCTCGCAAAAAAAAACAGCAGCAAATGCTGCTCGATAAGAGCCGACGGTTTTAGTCTCAATTTATAATTATGCAAGCGTTTAAACAGAATCCTGCTATTTAGTGCAAGGATATCTCACGAGTTGTTCTGAAGTCGTCTTTCTAACCGTCATTAATTGTCAGTCAAAGAATTTGTACACCATTTCTGCTTTTCGAAATGCGAGTTTCGAAGAACACATAATCGGAAAAAGAACGGTTCAAAATGTTTCAATCAATGTTTTGATATGAATGGACTGTCATTACATTTGGTTCTAACATAGTTCTTGAGAGTACGCGAGCTTGACAAGGCCTTTCTGCAGTATAAACCCCGCAAGAATCTAGCGCTGCTGATACTTTAGATGTCTTTGATAAGCTTTCAAATTTCCATTGACTTTCAATCCTTCGAAGTGAAAATTTTCAAAACCATAGTTCCTTCTGTTCAATGGCAGCGCTGCGCAAAACTTGAAAGGTTGCAAGTTTTCTTTTTGATCTGAGCGCCACCTCCATATCAATTTGACAAGCTATCAGGCATAAATTACCACCATTCACGATTAAACGATACATGCAGTATGATGTCCGCGTAATTCTACCCTACATCGCAAAGAGCCTTACTGCTCTGTTATGACACACCTGGAATTCCAAGAAAATGCTTTTCTTTGTGGAGAGGTTGAGGCTGTATGATATAAATCACGGTAGCATGAAAAACTTCTCTCATCTGTGCATCCCCTGAGAATAAATTTTTCAGCCAGCACTTTTATTGATAACCAAACCTATGCACGTAAGTGCGAAAACACGGAGCAGCTTTTCTCATTCTTCTCGTCCATCTTAAAGCAAAGCGGAACGAAAATAGTAATTTTCTGTTGATTCGATAGTCCTAAGTTAGTTGAGAAGGGAAAACTAAGTGGTCAACATTCAAGTGCTCAAAAAAAGGTTCTTTCCTTTCTGTTATTGCGAGTGGATTGATTTGTAAGCTCATGTCATGAACTTCTCACATGCAGCTTGTCAAGTAAGTTGAAACAACAAGAGAATTTTCATCTTTTCATCTTCTGCTTTGACCAAAGCCTGAATTTTTGACTTCACGTCTTTTCCAAAAGGGGAACGCGGGAGGGATCCGAACTATTCTGTTGAATATAGCAATGCGGATAGACTTTTTTGTTTTTGTGACTTACGCAAAGCAAAAAATTTCGACCCTACTCCACCCGTTCCTTAGAAGCGAGTCGAAACCATCGACCCAAACGCTGGCGCTCTTCTGTCGTTTGAAGAGCGGCAGAAGTAAAAAATTTGCGTTCTGGTTTGGCTAGGTAATTAAGGTTATGAAGGTTAAGGAAGCTAAATTCAATTACATTCTGAGAGCTATTATCACCGAAGATTAGTCTGTTTTTATATGGCACAAAAATCTACAACGAATATTTTTAATCATGCAAACTTTGAAGAAAGAACAGTCTCTGAGTTCTTTCACCATATTTGTTTCCTTTCGAAGTCGCGGAAACCATTTATGAGATAACCTAACATATTCAGAAAAACAGAGACATTTTCAGCACTATTTCTCCAGTAAAAGAAAAAGAAGTCATAAAAATGTATTACTTTTGGTACCTGAAACGTAATACAGCTAAGTAAATTTTCTAGATGTACCAAAAATGCAGGAAAACACTGCCTTAAATAGCTCATGAAGAAGACTTTTTTTTAACGTAACGCGTACGCTATGGCACATTCTAAATGACACAAAATCAAGTGTTTCTCGAAGTGAGCGAGGACAGAAACTTGACCTCCGCAATGGAGCAACATTAGAGAATGTAATATTTAGTAGGCAAACCATGACGATCCGCAGATTAGCCACACTAGCTTAAAAAGATTTGGCTCCATGCAATCCAATTTCATTACATAGGATAACGCAAGAATTTTCTAGCATCTCTTGGTCATGATCCAAAATGAAGCGCTATGGAGGTGACGCTTGCCCTAGTGTTGTTTCAGAAAGCTTCCATAGATAATAATCGCGAAAACATCTCTTAGGCTTTATTTCAGCCAATATTCAGTAGCAAGTAACAATATTTTGTTTTTTAAATAGCATAAACCATTACATATTTGATCGGGTCATTGAGGAGAACTAAAATAAGCAGAGCAATTTTATGTAGATAGCTTTTGCATATCAATTCACCAACGGGGACTTTTGGTAAATAGGCTTGAACAACAGCTATATGAACAAAGTCAAAGTTGGTACTATTCGTGATGCGTTACTTTGGCAAGTTCTGTCCATGCAGACTTTCAATTTTTGTGGACAATTGAAGATAAAGCAATTCCGAAGACAATCACGGGTTTGGCTGTATACTTCACACTAAATAATCTGATTGCGAGTTATCTGCGTTTCAAGTGTTTCTTTCTACTTGTAAGCAGTTTTTTGAAGGAGTGCGTAAGTGCAATTTGGCCCGATCTACTTAACAGATTGATGACAACCCTCCCACTGACGTGTTCTGTGATTCAAGTGATTTTGAAAAAAAACCGTGCGCGTTTTCTAAATTGTCGCAAAGACTTCCATATAATGATTTCGAGCATACGCGCGTATGCATAAAACCATTGGAAGTCTTTTGACGCTTGTTATGAAACGTGCAAACTATTATTTTCAAAATTACTTGTATCTTACAGAGTCCTATCAGGAATTATATGCACGAAGATTTCTGCATCATTTCCTCTTTCAATAAACTATGTGATGGCAATTGTGAGAATCTCTTTCCGAGGAAAGCGTTATAATATTGAGTGCCTAAGTTCATCTTTGATCGCTCTCAGGACAGCTGTACTTCCAACCTCCTCACAAGGGAAAGGTTCTTGATCGAAATGGCGTTTCCATATGAAATGTATATTGTATTGAAGAGCATGGAACACTGATTTCAAATCTGCTTTCGTTATCTGCAAAGCACTTTTGGGAGGAAATTTATGGGACTCTTAAGCAGAAATTTGGATCCGCAGCTACAATAAAATCACCGTGTAGCCTGTGAGCTCAAATGGGACCATGATTACTGCCAGGATGCTGCTTCTGTCCAATAATTTATGCCGGCATTACTTTCTTCAAGCATTGGTGAGACTCAACGCCTGTTTCTACATCAGTCAAGCTCCTGAATTTTGTTTAAAAACATTCCCATTATTCCCTTCCCAGAAAAGCTTTGCAGATAACAAAAGCAGATTCTGGATCAGCGTTCCAGGAGCTATAAGACACTGTACATTTCATATGGAAACTCCACTTCTGCCAAGTCCCTTGTCAATAAAACACAATTGTCATATTTTAACAGCTAAATTTGCGTTCTAAACTTTTGTAGAGCTACAGCGATGACTCTATATGACAATCGGGCTACCAGTATTGTTACTGCATACGTTACCTTAACACCTTCTTTACTCCTGAAAAACTGGTGAGCGCGCGTATTATGCACGAAAGGCTAAACGGGAGTCACGGCGTGCATACGCACGTATGCACGCGGTCATCGACGTGTATTAGGTATAATGCTGACAGTGGACAGGCTGGCGAGCAGATCGCAAGTAATTGTTTTTCAACCTGTATATCATTGTGCAGATCCATATATCTACTAATTCTGAACATTCGACAGTGGGGCCAAGAACAGAGTTGTGTCAGCATGGAAGAATAAGCATACCAGCTATTCCCTCGTACATTGTTAAAATGTGAAAATTGCTGATAACTGTATAATATCATTGTGTAGTGAAAACATTGACTAACTCGCATCATAATAACTTTATACTGGTATTTTGCGTAAAAAGCTCAAAAAGGCTCCAGGCAGTTCCCTCGTCTGTTGACCACCGGGACAATCCTCACAGACGCATCTGATGGTAAAGAGACCTTTGGTTACTTTTTTGCAGTGTCCGTTTTGGCAATTCTGAATTTCAATTCAATGAATCAATTCTTAAATTGATGATTCGAATAGATGAGTAAATAGGCATACTAATTGTTTCGAGCAGCCTGCTCTGCACCCAGAATCACCGATAAAAACGGAGCAAAGTGCATAGTTCGGCACCACCTTAGTCGCCTCGACTGTGATTTTCAAAACGAATAGCAGTAGTGAAAATGCAACAAAATGACGCATCATTTTCTAAAAAAAGAAGAATGATTAGTCTGCAAATTTCATTTGATATTGATATAGTGCAATATAATAAGAAAAATTCAAAACTTTACCTGTTTTGTTTGGCTAGGTGTTATTATAGCTCATTTCAACATACAGTACCGCTCGCATGTCCTGGAAAAAACGACGCAGAGTCGCCCAATTCACGTGGCATCGCCGTAGCGTGACCATATCTCTCTTCAGAGTGGAAAAATTTTTAAGGGCACCATTCCACTCAGCTCAGCGCAGCGCATTTTCTGAGATATAGAAGCGCCAGCTTGAACATAGTGGGAAGCCAGATTTTACGATTAGTTCCAATTTTTTTGCTCGCGGTGGGTTGTCCAGTAAGTGTAATGAATAGCACACTGAGTGAACTACCATAAGCAAAAATCTGGAACGATTTGTGGGTCTGGCTTCTTATGGTCCAAGCGGATACTTTTATATATTGGATGATGCGCCGCGCAGAGCTGTGTCGAATGCTGCCCTTGGGTCAAGAATTCGTCCAAATGAAGCGAGATATGGACATGCGACAGTGATGTCACATATATCGAGCAACTCTGCGTCGTTTTTTTCAAAATATACGGTACTGTATAATGCTTTTCTGTTAGGTCAGCTTTTCAAGCACCGGTTTTCAAGTACTAAGAGTGCTCAGGATGCGTGGTTCTAAAGAGAGACTCACTATCGAGAAAGTATATCTGGCACAGTTCTTGATCACATTAAGCCCAAGAAAATTCATTTACAAGACTAATCTAAATTTGCAAAGATATTAAGTATCATTGCAATAACTACCAAATAAACAAATAATTGCACAGTTTCCAACTTTTCCTGAAATACTTTCACGATTTTTGCAAAATTGCTTTTACCTTCAAGGCTAAATGCAGGCACGAACTAGAGTTTGGAGATCGGGAAGCATAGAGAGATCTTCTGTATTGTCTAGTTAACGTATTCTCATTTCTTCCAAAAAAGGTGTTGCTTTTTTAATTAATTATCAAATTTTGCTTGCGTTTCTGTTGCCAAAAAATTCATACCAATCCAGCGTTATTGCATTTTCGGTTAATTTGAGAAATGCAGTTGAGAAAGTATGGTAAAATGAATAACTCAAGAGCGTGAAGAAGTGCACAAACATTCAAAATGATTCCGCCAATAGCAATTCGCATCATTTATTAGTACGGTGTTTTCGTTATCAAATTAGTACACTCTCCAATAACCATTATCTTTGTCAATACATGAGCGAATAGAAATTGTCAGTGCTGTCGTACCACCGTTTCATCAATATAATGATGTTAATCGCTGATATAAGATGCTTTGTGCTTACTAAGATATCAGGCGATGTCACATGTTTGACGCTGACTAAGAGTTCTAATCTTGTCGCGTGTCCATTCTGCAATGTCATATGTAGAAAAATAAACATGGCATTGAAAGTTCGAAGCTGACTTGATGAGAGAAATTGCTTAATTTCATTTTTGATGTTACTCCCAAACAAATTGTCGCTTTTGAGCTAATCTCGCCTCTTTTGAGAAACACGTAATTAAGGGGTGTTCCAAAAGAAAAATGTGAACGGCTGTTTGATCGTTAATAACCCTCTTGCTTTCATGTCTTTCGGCGAACTTCAGGTATCACTCTGTAGGACGAGGTTCAACTTACATAGATATGCAAAATGGACCGGATTATCAGTCACTCTCTATTAAAGTAGGATTACGGTATGAAATCAGCATAAAGCACATTTTTCCATCAAATGGCCTATGAGAAAGGCCATTTGATGGAAGAAATTCAAAAAAAACGGTTTGTGTAGTAAAGTTTTCAGCGGGCGGATTTCACTAAAAACTTTCCACCACTTTTCTGAGCTATTTTAAGGGTATAATCACATTTCTAACGAACACTGGAAAAACAGATGTTTCCTTAAACCTGAAGTAACTCATGAAAGCTCATATTCAGGTTTAGCGGCTTCGTATGGTCCAATACAAGATTTCTGACTTTTCGGTTTTTCTTTTTTAAGCAAAAATCGCTTTCACTCTCCCAAAATCTTCCTCAAAGTTCATACCGTAATCCTACAGTAATAAAGAGTGATTGATGATTTGGTCTATACTGTATATCTGAGTTGAACCTTGCTCTACAGAATTAGTTGTTGTCGTTCAGTTCAACTATCAGATGTTTTAAAAAGCCAAATTCAGCATAGTCAGCGAGCCATACAAAAAATTCATGACTAAAAATTCGGTGGAGACAAGAATCCAGCGAAAGATCAACTAGTAAATAACTATTCGATAAAATGGCTGAATCGTGAGCTTGGCATTATTATGGCATTACTATGGCATATTTACGTTCGTGGTAATTGTACGCAAGAAAATATAATTTTTTGCCTAATGCAACTTGGACGAATTGTTGAGACTTTCGAGAGTGATAATTTGAGGTTTGAATGAGGTGCGAATACGTTTTGCAAAAAAAAGTACCCTGCTCCGTTATCAATGCTTCCATTGCTTGAATTTGCTCTGTGTTAAGTGCAAGATACTGAGGCCAGAGTTAGCACTAACAATAACTCTGCAAAATTGGAATTTCACCTACAAGACACAAGATAACGCTAATTATTTTGACACTTATCAGTCTTCAACGTATCCGTTATTGTCATATCCTGCTTCAACTACAGGACCAATGTTAAAAAATGTTGTGTACATATACTAGGTAATTATCAAAGATTTGGTGGTACAGTCGAATCATTTCATATGATCATGTGTGTCACTGCACACACTAACCTCCTTCGGCATCCCCATTTTGGAATTGCAATAGCAAAAACGCAAGAGACCGACCGATTGTTATCGCTTATCACTTGGAGAGTGATATTCAAAAGGATGAAAAAACATGGAAAACACTCAGCAGAAGGGCTCTCTTTTCAAATCCAGGATAAGGACGCCAAAGGTGAACAATACGTGCATGAAACACATAATCATCTGAAATGATCTGGCCGTATTTTAGGTAACGATTGACAGGCCAGACCATTCTGTGCTATAAGTTTGGAAGCATGTCGATAAAATTCACGCTCGAGACTCTTAGTTCCAAAGATTTTGGGAGATAGGAAAGTTATAGTAGACGTCATTCCTCTAGTGATCTCGGTACGAAGTGTGTTAGTACACACAATTTTGAAGTTTCGGATGAGGCGCTGGAGTCCCGCAGCGACGTACTTATAATAAGTGCGCAGTACGGCTAAAATTTGTCGCTAAAATGCTTGTTTTTTCAACTTTTCTTCTTATTTTCACGCAAGGTCTAAGTTTCGATGATTTGTCACCTTTATAGTCGTGCATGCCCTTCAGAAAGAATTTTTCCAAATTTATCGCTTTTACTTTCAGGTAATTAGGCAGATGAGCAATACTGCAGGAATTCAAAGTAAGTCTGCTATCTTCAGTCCTGTCGTATGTAGACAGAGTGGAGCATACAACAGCACTGAAGATAGAGGCTCACTTCAGAGTCCTCCAGATTGTTCACCTGCCTCCTTTACCTGAAAGTAAAAGCGGCAAATTTTTATTTGTTTTCAAACGGCATGCACGACATATAAAGATGACAAGTTATCGAAACTGAGACCGTGTGTAAAGCTAAGAAGAAAATAAGCAAAAAGAAAAACGAGCAGTCTGGCGTCAAAATTTTGGCCGTACTGCGCATTTATGTGGATACGGCACGGCGGGATTCCAGCCCCTCATCCGAGATTTTAAAATTGTGTGCACTAGCCAGGGCCCGGCACAGATCGTCTGGAAGCAGGCTAGACACTTCATTTTTGAAGCAAAAAGCAAAGGAGATATCGTTTTTGACGAATCGAGACCGAGCACCAAGAATAAGCGCGATTTAGTCGAACACAAGCTTTTCGGACAGGTTACCACACATTTGACATGCTCTATCGTGTATGCCGAAAAGTGCGCGCGATTCAAAAGCAAGGCCAAAATAAAGAGATTGCTTGTTTTTTTTCTGATTGTTCCTTTAGCAGCGCCCAAGATTGGTACAGATTATCGCGGTTTCACAGCGCGTGCTGCATAAAATTCATACTTTCCCTTAGTATCTTCTTTAGTAAAATGATCACAGAATGCAACAAGCGACAGCAACAAAGCTGCAGCAACAAGATGATCAACTATCAGATAGAGAAAGGCTCGACTCGATGGTGCGCCTTCGTTTATCACTTTCATTCAAGAAGACACAGTCAACCTGATATAGCGTTACTTTATCTCTCTTTCTTCGTTCAACTTACTTTTACTCAAGAAGCCACAATCAGTCAGAGATATCGTCACTTCATTTCTTTCTTGCTTCAAACACTACGCTCTAGAAAAAAGAAACTCAACTTGCGCCTTTATCTGTCTTCACTTGTTTTTAGCGCGCAGTTTCCAAGATCTTTGCCAATCAAACACGACTTATCCAAAACAGCTTCAAGAAAAAATCAAACGCCATGTCACTCATAAAGTTTGAATCAAATTCGACTCATTCAAAAGCGTTTCAAGCAAAACAAGCGCCCTTTTTACTCATAACGTGTGACACTTCATATTCATGTTTTTAGTGAAGTAGATCAGTAGAAATCTAGTAAATGTGTATTCATTTATATCGTGTGTTACGTATTTTTACAAATGTCTTGATTGGGTCTGATTACCCATGTTTGAGGTAATCGCCAAATAAACGTTGCTTGTCAATCGGTGTGGTATTGCTGTTGTCGATTGGGGTGTGTTCCTGAGTTGGTATCTTGCCACTGTTATAAGTGATGCATCGATTTAAACAACGAGAAGGACAACAAAAAAGGACATGTACGCCTTCAGAAGATACTTCCTTTTTTCGTTTTCTTTGGTTTTGGATTTGGATTTTTTCAATTAGTAGGTATTGCTTTCATATTTTGCGCAGTATTTCATCCATATCATAATGAAAGAAGAAAGAAAGAAGTAAGAATTGAGAATTACAATGTAATTGTCAATATAATATATTCAACTTCTCTCTATCTGAAATTAACCAAGGTTTTTGCAACTCCTGGCTGG